TGATATTACGTAACAGTTCATCTTTCTCTAGAATCACATTTCTGTTGCTTCAAGTCTCTTCTTCATCTTTGAAGAGATTGTCCAACATTCACTGCCATATGGGAGGACTGATATTACGTAACAGTTCATCTTTCTGTAGAATCACATTTCTGTTGCTTCAAGTCTCTTCTTCATCTTTGAAGAGATTGTCCAACATTCACTGCCATATGGGAGGACAGATATCACGTAACAGTTCATCTTTCTGTCTTTTCACATTTCTGTTGCTTCAAGTCTCTTCTTCATCTTTGAAGAGATTGTCCAACATTCACTGCCATATGGGAGGACAGATATCACGTAACAGTTCATCTTTCTGTTCTTTGTTTCTGTTGCTTCAAGTCTCTTCTTCATCTTTGAAGAGATTGTCCAACATTCACTGCCATATGGGAGGACAGATATCACGTAACAGTTCATCTTTCTTTAGAATCACATTTTGTTGCTTCAAGACTCTTCTTCATCTTTGAAGAGATTGTCCAACATTCACTGCCATATGGGAGGACAGATATCACGTAACAGTTCATCTTTCTGTAGAATCACATTTCTGTTGTTTCAAGTCTCTTCTTCATCTTTGAAGAGATTGTCCAACATTCACTGCCATATGGGAGGACAGATATCACGTAACAGTTCATCTTTCTGTAGAATCACATTTCTGTTGTTTCAAGTCTCTTCTTCATCTTTGAAGAGATTGTCCAACATTCACTGCCATATGGGAGGACAGATATCACGTAACAGTTCATCTTTCTGTAGAATCAGTTCATTTCTGTTGTTTCAAGTCTCTTCTTCATCTTTGAAGAGATTGTCCAGCATTCACTGCCATATGGGAGGACAGATATCACGTAACAGTTCATCTTTCTGTAGAATCACATTTCTGTTGTTTCAAGTCTCTTCTTCATCTTTGAAGAGATTGTCCAACATTCACTGCCATATGGGAGGACAGATATCACGTAACAGTTCATCTTTCTGTAGAATCACATTTCTGTTGTCCAGCATTTCAAGTCTCTTCTTCATCTTTCTGTTGAAGAGATTCATCTTTGAAGAGATTGTCCAACATTCACTGCCATATGGGAGGACAGATATCACGTAACAGTTCATCTTTCTGTAGAATCACATTTCTGTTGCTTCAAGTCTCTTCTTCATCTTTGAAGAGATTGTCCAACATTCACTGCCATATGGGAGGACAGATATCACGTAACAGTTCATCTTTCTGTAGAATCACATTTCTGTTGCTTCAAGTCTCTTCTTCATCTTTGAAGAGATTGTCCAGCATTCACTGCTATATGGGAAGACAGTACGTAGCAGTTCAGCACTTTTTCAAATCTGAATACGCATAAATACTCTTGGAGAATGTATGAATACACCCGCTGCGTAAATGTAAGTTATACAAGTTGACAATCTTTCATCCGAAATTCTTGGAGTCGATTTTAATATTTTTTCAGATTTTGGAATACAGGCTATTTAATTTGTATATAGCATCTGTAAAATGGGACAGCTTGGGAATAGAACCCTAGCCTAAGCATCATACCCTTTTGCATTTCATAAAAAAAAGCTTATGAATATACCCTGAAGATAATTTTATATAATTAACATATAGTAATTTTTTATAAAATTTAATAAATTTTGATATAAACAGTTATAGGTAATGACGGATTTTTAAGTGTTGAAATTAAAATTTGACATAAAATAATGTTTTATACAAAAAAACATGACCACTAGTTAGAAAAAAATCTATAAATAAAGGACTTTTTGACATTTTGAATAACTTTACTAAGCACCAAACACCCGGTAGGTAATCCACGAAACGATGTGACGTTCGTTTACAAAGAAAATGGCGCCAACGTAGGCTACGTAGCTTGATTGGGGAACCCCTACCCAGGGTTGATGAATTCGCTTACAAAAGCTTCACCTAGTAACTTTCCCAGTATCTTCTGAAATTTTCCATTTATTTCAGAGTCATACCTGTAAAACTTTCGGATTTTGGAATTTCGGATAAAGGACACACAACTTGTACTAATTTTTTTAATGATTTCACTACAAGCAAGGCCACAGCTCGAGCTTTTGTCGTCATTAACAAGAACTTGATCTACATATTTAGTGATGGCCGTTCACACATCAGCGTCAGAACTGGCAAAACGGAAGGCTTATTGTTTATCAGAGAGTAGGTCGTGAGAGATATGATGATTAACTACTTCAACATTCATAAAAGCCTTGAATACTTTGCCAAAAGCAATAAGAAACTAATAGAGCAATAGATGGAGGGTCCAGAAGGTTCTTAAAAACGGGAACTACAGACGAGAACTCCGAACAAGCAAGAAAGCTAGAAGCAGCGAGGCAATAGTTTTAGAGTTTGGAAAGAACTGGATCTAGCTGGGGAGCACATTTCCTTAGGACGATGCCTGGGATCACCTCAGCTTGCCTTATGGGCGTCGAATTTAGAAATGATGTCCGAGTCCAGGGCTGGGGTTAT